GAGACCTCATTAGTCCCCTATCTGGTAGGTTACTGTTGCATTTCTTCTAGGCCTGCCAACCATATCCCTCTGCATGTAACTCAGGATTCCTCCTGTTATGGCAGCTAAGTCCCAACAGTAAGGATCCCTGGGAAAAATCCAGGTGAAACCTGCATTGCCTTGTATTGCCTCACCTTAGGAGTCACACAGCTTTCTAGATTCCAGCCATGTATCCCTGAAGCCAGGTGGCATTGAGGAATAGAATCCAGCCTCAACCACCCTGTAGAAATGCCAAAGAACTATTTAGGAATCAATACAGTATCTTGTTTCCTAGTTTTATTGAGTTTTAATTGACAGGAAAATGCTCTACACTGTGCAGGATGGTGGTTTTGGTTACATTCTGAAAGGATTGCCATCATCACAGTAGATAATAGAGCCATCAGCTCCACATAGTTTACCTGATATTGTTATTGGCATTAGGACATTTAAACCTGACTCCCTTGGCAAATTCAAGTATCTAGAACATTCTCACTAACCACAGTCACCCTGCTGCACATCAGATCTCCAGAGCATAATCATCTCCAAACTGCAATTTGTAGCCTTCTCTATCTGATCTCTTCAATGCCTGATTAGAACAGTTTCCTTGAAGTAATAGGCAAGTCCAGTCAAGAGACCCAACCAAGAGCATGTAATGTGACTAAGGAGAGGGATCCAAATGCAGCAGAGACAATGCCTCATCTATTATACCATCAGTTGATACTTACATGATGATTAATTTACATAAATATCAATTTGACACAGCCTAGAATCACCTGAAAGTCTGAATAAGGGACTAGCTAGATGAGGTTGGCCTGTGTTTATATCAGAGAGGTATTGCTTTTTCTTAATTGACTTGATTGAGGTGAGAAGACCAAGGCCACTGAGGGCAGTACCATTCCCTAGGTTTGGGTCATAGGCTACATGAGAAAGTGAGCTGAGTACTCACTAAGCATACTTGTGTGCATTCTCTTGACTATGGATGTGATATAACCGTCTCTCTTAAGATTCTACCACATTTTATTACAGCAACAGCAATAAACTAGAACAGTAGATTAGATCTAAAAATTATTCCATTGAGACAATGTTATACAGGACACTATTTCAATAGATAGGAACATGCTCACAACATGGGCCGGATAGTTGGGATCAAACAGACAGAAGCGGGTGAGGGGAAGGGAGTGCTTATGGGACATCTTTTCATGAACTATCAAGCAGGTATGATTTTTTTTTATAACAGTGAACATGTCAACTTTGATAAAACAGTTAAATTCACAGTAATTAAAAGGAAAAAGAAGATAGCCAGGTGTGTCTTGGTGGCACCAAGAAGCCAGCCTAAATGGCAGGCTGCTTTGCTTTTCAAACTCCGATTGTTCCCCATTAAGTGGGGAAAAAAATGGTCTTATTTCAGGGTGATGGCTAAAATGCAGAGTTCTCTGCACTATGCTTCTGCCACTAAACCCAGGCCCTCGCGCACTTGATGGGACAGAGAGCGGTTTGTAAATCTGTATGTGTCACAGGCATCAGACTGAGTGATGCTCCCCACTGGTGAGAAGAGGCACAGGGCTTATTTATGGCCCTGCAGTCTTATTGCTAATTAGATCTACTATCTCTGTGGTCATCTAATAACTCTCTTGTGTTTAATGTGGTATCCATGCAAACCTCTCGACTCATCATCCTGACAGTGTTTGCTGTTTATTGACAGTATGTGAGTCCAGGGTGGTAAGAGCTTCAGAAAACAAACAAAAGGCAAAGACAGGGTGGTAAGTTATCACTCTGCTTGTTAGGTTATTGATCTTTGATAGGAAATTGAAAGCTTTAAGAAATCAACCACACCCAGCAAGAGCATGCTTTGGGGAACACTGGGTCACCAGAATGACTTAGGCTGGATCTGTCTAAGAAACTGAAATAGCAGGTCATCAACCACTGCATGGAACAAATTCTGACTAAACCAGCTTATGTGGCAGTAACAAGTCACTTTGAAATCACATGCAATAGGGCAAGAAAAACCTGGTCACTCCTCTTGCCTACCAAGGTCAGGCAGAGGCTCCTCTCCATGAAGGGACTCTGGTGATCTTGGTAGGTCATCTGGAACCTGACTCTTCAGTCTTGTAAATTTGTCACAATAAGGCCTTTGATAACTTCATACAGGTATAAAATGTATCTTGAACATACCCACCCCCATCCCACCTCCTCTTCTCCCCCAGTATGTCTACCCACCCCTTTAAAAAATAACCCTCTGTGTCCAATGAAGGCTGCTTACATGTCACTGAGTGTGGGATGCTCTGCCGGTGGCCACACTCCTGAAGAAAAAGGACTCATCAACTACAAACAATTCCTCAGCTAGGAATGGAGCCCATGGTCCTCTCCCCTGTGCATGCTGGATGTCATCTGGCTAGATCTTGTGCAGGTCTTGGGCAGGCAACGTTAGCTCCTGGGAGGGAGTTGATATGTTCATCAGCCACATCTGTCCGTAGAACAGAATTTCACAGCTCTTCTCTTTGTCCTCTGGCTCTATATTTCTCCTTGATCTCTTCTTAATGTATCCTGAGCCTTGTAGGGGTTGATACTGATGTCCCAGTTAGGGCTGAGCACTCACAGTCTCTCATTCCCAGCATTCCATTCAATTCTACATCTCCTTCTTGACTGTTACCCACTGTAAAAAGAAGCCTCCTTGACCTTGGAGGCTGATCATCATTTCACCAGCAAAATGGAGATGGCTATCATTTCTCACAATTGATAATAATGCACTTAACCCCAAGGGAAGCATCTATATGGTGGACCTGGCAAAATGGCTCAGTGCATAAAGGGCTTGTAGCCAAGCCTGACAATTTGAATTTGATTTGTGGGTTCTGCCTAGTAGAAATAGAGAACAGATTCTCAAAAATTGTTCTCTGACCTACACATGATCACAATGGCACAAATGCCCACTGCACACATAATCTCTGTCTATCTGTCTGTTTGTCTGTCTGTTTATCTTAATCCCTATCTCTTTCTCTCCATACACACATACACACCACACAAATAAATATACATAATAAAAATTTTAAAGTGTGTTCAGTGGATATTGGGAGGCCTGTACATTGACTTTGAGTTTCAGAATGTTCCAAAGTGGGGCCTTATCCTTTAGAATAAAAATAGCATATGCCAGCCAAGGCCAAGTCTCCGCCAAAGGAGTTGACAAGCTGTGAGCCTTGTGAAGAAAAGAAAAAAATGTGTCTTATGTTAGGATCAGGGTTGCCATAAGGGAATTGATGATGTCACTAGATAGCTTCTACTCTGTCTTCTGGAGAGCTACTCATAGGCAGTTGTGATTCCACACAAATATCCAATTCACAAGGCTATCTACAAGCTTTGTCTCAAAGGAAGGTACCCCAGTCCCCCAAATCTTGAGTTTAGAGTGGGAACACCCTGATTCAGTGGCTGCTAGTGAAAGTAAAACAGTGGCTGAGTCAGGTGACCCTGCACACATCCAACTGTCTCCTGTTGTTCCAGGAGACAGAGCTAGGCAATCCCTGATTTCCCAGAATGCAATGGGGCTTGTTGCTGAAAGGCCTCATGGGAACACTGTCAAGGAAGAATAAGGTACAGTGGCACTGGCATGCCAAGAGCTAGGGGTGGGAGGCTGTGGCTGTGAAGAATCTGAAGGGTATGTGGTATGTAGGGAGCAAGTGAATTCCAGAGTGAATGTGTGTTGTTGACATGGACTCAGCCAAGTCAAAGACCCCAGAGCTTCAAACTTCTGGGAAAATGGCAAAGCCTTCCAGGGATGAGGCTCAAGAGAATTGCAAGTCCCTCTGGTCCATGTTGATAGTGTGGAAAGAAATGTCTACATCGCTTCTCCACAATATATATGGCCTAAAGACTTCTCCCCGGGAGAGATTGATCCTACCAACATTAGCGAAACTTGCCTCCATGTCTGGCTGTAGATAACAACCCTGCATCCTTGTTTACAAGTATGCAATAATCCAACCTCTCTGTTCAAGTGTATATAAACATATATATTATGTATATAATAAACAAAGTGCTGTGGCTTGTCCATCAGAGAGCCCATTTCACCTGATGCCAGCTTTACTGTGTGTCTATATGTTTGTCTTTTCTTCATTCCTTTTCTAACCTTGTCAGGTCAACCCCTGAAATCCGTGCAGCCTGTATTCTACCTTTCAACACTATTAGAGATAGCCATCCTAGTTTTCAGCCCAGTTCAAGCCTGATTTCACTGTACCCCACAACTAGAGCATGTGGTGAGCCAGGGACAAATCTCTTGTCTGATCCCTAAAGGAAAAGTCTAGTTGGGGAAAAAATGTATGCTTTCCTGAGCCTCTAGGAGTGGGTGAGTTGATTTTATGCATGCACAAGCTGTGTTCATTGAAGGGACTGCAGGAGTGTGATCTCGGCCACAACAGCATTCAGAAGCCAGAACGAGGAAAAGCCTGGGTAGTCACAAGGAACTGAAAGGGGAACAGAAAGAAGCAAGCAATGCCACTCCCATATTCTTTGTGGCATCACCAATCTAAGCTCTTTCAAGGTGGAATCGTTGTATATAAAGTGAAAAGTGTGTAAGTCACTGAGGCAAGAATTCAGAAGTTGGAATTCACAGTTTAAGTCTCACTTTCATTTCCCCCCCCCCCAGCTTTGTGACCTTGGGAAAATCATAACGCCTCTAAGATACAGGAATGTTGCCTACCTCATCTGGTGACGGGAAGCTTGTGGGGTCAGTTCTTGTAGTGCTCTTGTAAGGGTGCTGGGTGCCAAACACAGTGTTCATTATAAATTTACTCCATCAGTGTTCCCATCACATCATCCCTACAAAATTCACGTGTCAACAAAAATGGCCTCTCAGCAGCTGGCTATTGGCGACACTTGGCTTCCTGTGCCCAGGTGAAGGACCAGTCCTTTCTCAGGGAGGCAGGAAGAGGCATCCACACATCCAGGTGACAGGTCATGTGGGGAGTAGGTAATGGATAATATGTTTATTCTTCCAGGAGGCAGAGATCCTGAACACGGCCATCCTCACTGGGAAGACAGTGGCTGTCCCTGTGAAGGTGATCTCAATAGAGGAAGATGGCACAGTACAAAGTCTGTCGGACTCGGTGGAGTGCAGGTCATCAGATGAAGACGTGGTTAAGGCAAGTGGACAGTTCCTCACCCATGCAGAAACAGTCACTTAGGCATGGGTGTTTATCCTCACCTGGGATCTGTGGGGCCTGCAGGGTTCCTCCCATTCTGGTTTTCCGGCATCTTAAATCAGGAATGTCTCCCAGAGCAAAGCCAAATAGAACAAACACTGCTCTAGCCCACAGCTGGGTTTTGAAGCTTTTCTTCACTGCCTTTGTGAAGTGATGTTGATCTTTTCCCAGACCCTGGGAGGTGGCAATTGGATGTGGGGACTGACAACCAACGTTTCTTTCCACCCACTTGAGCTATAAAGGTATGAGAAAGAGAGGCGGGACCTGGACTGGTGTACAAGCAGCCGTGGTTCATGATGCGTTTAGAGCCAGATGGCTTGTGTGAAATCGATAAAGGCATAAAGTTTATGATTACACCAACTTTGATTTACAAAACCAGCCACTGGAGAGAGGAGTTGACTCACAACCACTGGCCCTCCCTCACAGCTCTACATGAGGGAGGGCCACCACACATATCACACACTTTGCCCGTCCCTCTGTACCATTCCCTGATTCCAGTCTTCCCCCTGAGCTCTTTTTTCTCTTTTTAAATTGAAAGCAAAAAAAAAAAAAAAATGATTCAAGGCAACAGCGTGCTAGGAGAAGCCTTAGGGCAAAGACTCCAGTCTGGATGTGCCAGGAATCTCTCAGCAAGGTTCCAGACAGCAGGGTGGGGGAGGTGGATGTTTGTAGCTACGACCAACTCTGCAGGCAGAGCCATGGTGACAGATGTCATGTCACATCCTCAGGGTGAACAAGGATGGGGAGGGAGATTTCTACACATTCTTGGAGCTTTCCTCCTACCAAATGCAGAAAGAATAACACACAGCACCCCAGCTTTTCTGGACAAGAGTACTGCAGCCTGTCTACCCAGAAGGGAACCTCCACCAAATGAACATCTAGCAACTTGGGAAGTAATCAAATAAACACAAATAGAATGTTTGCTTTAGTGATAGTTTCTACTCAGGATGCCAGGACCACTAAGAAGCACAGTTACCCAGAGCTGAGAGAGGCTAGATCTGCAGGAGAATAGCAGCGTGGTGTGGTGCTCTACATAGCATGCCACTCCAACCTACTTCTTCCAGAGCCTTCTTTACAACGCGCAGCCAATCCTTCAGTGTCTCTGAGTAATGTCTCAGCTCATCTTTGATTTCTCTCTTTCTGGCTCTCACATCCAGTCTTCTATGAACCTTTCTGAGGATTCCTTGCATTGACATTCAACAGCTCTTCTCCGGGATAGGTCCCATCCTGGTCTAGGACACTGTGGATTCTAGATCAAGGAATGACCTTCTTCTCTCACTTCCATACCCACGCATTCCCACACCCCTTTCACATGTCTATTTCAAGGCAGCAGCCAGGGTTATTAGAGACAACTCAACAGTATCATTCAGATACTGAGAACCATTCACTAGCTTCCCTTCTAGCTCAGAGTACCCAGACTGCACACCTCATACCAACCTTAGTCTCGTTATGTACCCTTGCCATCCATCATGCCAGCCACCCAGAGTCTCTGTGGTTTGATTGAGGCCAAGAACCCTCTTCCACCTCTACATCTAACCCTCCCCTGGATGACTGTGTGGTCTGTGCCCTCACTTAGCCTCCCACAGAGTCCTTTGCTACCCAGCATTTGTGACATTGTCATGGATACCTAGCACTGCCTTTTCAACCTGCTACATTTGTATTCATACATAAATACATAATTAAATGAAAACATATATATATATATATATAATTTACTGTGTTTATTGTTTGACCTCCCTCATCAGAATATCAGCTCCATGAAAAGTCAACATTCCTGTACATTCTGTTCATTGTTACAATCCCATCATTTACAATACCTGACACATCATGAATGATCAACAAATGCTTGCAAGGTAAATGAGTGAATGAATGACACACAGCTGCCTCTCCAGTGGTGGTGGAGTTGTATTGGGATAACCCATTGTTTCCAAAGAGCCAGCCATGATAATTCTCTCAGCTAGAAATCATGAGTGGGTCAGAGTAGGTCAGCTCTGGCTGTCCTAAACTCTTGAGTGCCTAAGGCAGACCCAGAGGTTCACAGATCCAAGCCCTGAGAGCCACAGACCGGCTGCTCCAGATTTTAGAAGCCAGAGACTCAAACTGTTAGGACTCAGCTTGCTCTGGGCTTCAACCACCAGTGTTTGGCAGCTGGTGTAACCCTCAGATCACAGCAGCAGCAGCAGCAGAAACAGCAGCAGTAGCAACAGTAGCAGCAGCAGCAGAAGCAGCAGCAGCACCAGGCACTGCCTGCTCTTGTCACAACTCCTGAATAGCTTGGGAGCCTCATCTCCTGTAGAGTTAATGCTATGGCTCTTGGTTTGGACCTAGGGCATCTGAGACTTCTGACTCATAAAGCTTGCCAGCTCTTTGGAATATGCATGGAAACCAGAACCTCCTGTTTTTCATCTATGACTCCTCGGAGCCTTCTCTCCTTCCTTCACCCTTGGCTTTCCCCCACTCTCACCTTCTCTCTACCTCTGCCATTCCTTATTGCCTCCACCTCCTCTGCTTTCCACAATTTCTACCACTCTCTGGAACTCTGAAATCACCCTCGGGTTGGTGTTGCTGTTGCTGCTGTTACTGTCATTGCCATCAACAACTCTTTCCTCCTCCTACCTCTCCACCACACCATCTACACTTTGTGTGACCGGCTCATTTTGCTCTACTAAACATTGAAAATAGGCAAGAAAACACCACTTAAGAAAAGCCTTTGGCTGAGCCTCACATTGCAACACTGGATGACATCACAGGAGTAGAATCTCCCAACTGACTGGAAGTGTGAGCCCATCCGCAGGCCTTCTGCTGGGCACCACAATGAGTGCTCACTCTGGTGCTCCTCTGGCCTGTGTGGGACTGGCTACTTAGCTTAACTGAAGCTTGTGACATCAGAAAGCTCTTGCTCAACCTGCTGAAAGAGCTGTGCCTTGGACAGCACCCCTCGGAGCTGGAGTTGTGCCTTGGCAGCAAGCAGCTGTAATTGCTATGCAGCTTCCTCAAGATATCTTGCAGTGTCCAATGCAGCCTAGCTGTAATGCAAGCTGGCCTCTCAGCCGCGCAGCTGACAGTCCTCTGCTGAAGCAAGCCATCCAAAGCACCAAGAAGGGGGTCTGACAGCTCAGGGAGCCAAATCACCACAGCCTTCAACATCTTAGCTTATTTAAAGGAAAAGTAAGCATTAAATGGATTCTTGGCATGAGGGCCTGTCATTGACATTACCAGTGCTTTGACAATGTTCAGCAACGTACTACTCATAGCTAAGAATCCTTGGGAAAGTGGCCTCATTTTGTGTCTCACCACCATTAAGTCAAGAACATCTTGAGTTAAAACATGTTTAATACCATTAACCTGAACCACATACCCTGCCCCTGCCTACCTGAGCATTCACATCAATTTATATTCCAAGGCAGAACTTTGGAACACAAACTCTACAAGAGTGTGTTCAGTATTTCATGGAACGCAGTGGCTACTTTAGAAAATAAATGAACCAACTAAACAGTGCCTTGTGGAAGAGGATTTATATACCTGTGACACCTGACGAGGAGGCCACTCAGAATCGAGAGTACCATGTCACATACTGCCAGCCCGGGGGTGGGGGTGGGAGAATTAAAATTATTATTTAAAGTAGAATTTCTATTGAGTGCATCACTTCCTTACCATCACGTAGTCAAAGAATTCTAAGTCAGAGCACCCTCCAGTTTGACTATCTGTAATAACAAACAAGAAACAGTTAATGAAGTCACAGACCAGTCCTCAGGGGAGGGATTCAAACAGACAGAAAGAATGCTATGTTAGTTACTGTGGCAAAAGGCCCATCAGAAGCCACTGAACAAAGAAAGGGCTTATTATGGCTCACAAAGTAAAAGTACAGTATGCAATGGTGGAGAAATCTTGATGACAGGCATGACAGACAGCTGGTCACATCACATGCACACTCAGGGAGTAGCAAGAGGAAGGCTGGTCCTCAGCACCAGGGAACAACGCTGGACACATTCAGAGTTGGTTTTCTCACAGTCATTAAGCCAAGCTAGAAACTCCTTCATGGACAAGCCTACAGGATTCCTTCCTAGGTAATTCTAGACTCTGTCAAATTGACAAACGGTATTTTTAATTTTGTAGTGTGTGTGTGTGTGTGTGTGTGTGTGTGTGTGTGTGTGTGTGTTTTGTGAGTGGAAGTCAGAGGATAACTCGCAGGAGTTAATTTTCTCCTTCCACCATTTGAATAACTAAGACATAACTCAGGTCGTCAGGCTTGGGGACAAGCATCTTTACCTCCTGAGCCATCTCACCAACCTGACAGTCAATATTAACCAGCCTGCCAAACAGACAAGATGCCAAAGGGCATTGCAGAGGGAGGACACATCATTAAGATGCTCAGGGCACACTGGGTATCTGCAGCCTGCAACAATCACTGCTGAGTCCAGATGGCCAGCCAGCACTGGGTCCTCCTGCCCAGCCATTGGCTCAGTGATAGACGGAGTACCTAATCAGAGCAGATAAGATGCAGCCTTGAGATTCTGGGGCGAGCCTAGAGAAGGAAGGGGCTTCTATCCCTTTGTTCTTGGGAATGACTCCTGAGCCACTCGAAGAGATGCAGAGGACACAAGAAAAAAAAAAATGGTGCACAATGTAATGCTCCAGCCCGCCCCCATCCTACCTCCTCGCAACACACACCTCCCCAGCTGCCACTGTGTGGCTCTGTATATCACAGATGGTGACAGTCGCCTGAACACATGGTGCTTCCATGTGGTTTGGGAGCCTTGGAGTGGCATCAACCCACCTGCTCAGGCTCTCGGAAACTTCTGGGTAGACATACCTTCTCCCTTCAATGCCTCACACTCTCTATCTTCATTAGTTTCCTTCCAGCCTCAGCCAGAGACCCAGTAAGCTCCAGCGTCCCCTCCCCCGGCCCCCAGGCGTATCAGAGGCTCCTGGCAGGAAAT